CCAAAATAATCATTTTATTGCATTCCAAATTTAAGGAAAACTTCACGGACGGATGAAGTCAACACCAAATTCCTATATCCTCCAACGGGTTAAAGGAACTGGGCGAGGAATAACATGTAAAGAAGTAGGAGATGAAAGAATAATGGAGAGAGAGATACAGTTTATGGTAAGAAGCGGTTACTGCGGTGTGGTGCTCGGTCCTACTAAGAATGAATGTCAACACAAATTATTCTAAGGGTATAAGACATCATCAAAGTTTTATCTTGGTCATACTATCATTAGTAAATACATAATTTAAGAAGTAAAAGTTACCGCATGGAAATTTTGTACAGTTTGGTGCATTGCAACCTCTAAACCTGTAGCCAAAACAATATTGTAAGTTGTTATGTTAGTTCCTCAACAGCCCATTAGTGGCCCGATGTTGCGCTTCCTGTTTTTAAACGATGAACATTTTTCTGGTGAGTTATCTGCTCTGTGCTTCCATAAACTGAAGAGAAAATATACAACACCATCCACTTTAAAGATTTTACTCTTTAGAAATAACCTGGAGACGTTTTCTTTCAGTTGACTAAATAATTTTCATGTGTTTGTTTACTATATAATTATCATGCGGACTGTAAACTGACAAAGATATTTTGCTGACTGTAGATTGAATTATCATGCTGACTGTAAACTAAATAATTATCACGATGATAGTAGAGATAGTGACCTGAAAGAGAGAGAAGACAGTAGGAATAACAGGTGTTCGGGTGTGGCACTGTCTCCCTCCTGCTGTTGCGGGTGTGGCACTGTCTCCCTCCTGCTGTTGCGGGTGTGGTACTGTCTCCCTCCTGCTGTTGCGGGTGTGGCACTGTCTCCCTCCTGCTGTTGCGGGTGTGGTACCGTCTCCCTCCTGCTGTTGCGGGTGTGGTACTGTCTCCCTCCTGCTGTTGCGGGTTTGGTACTGTCTCCCTCCTGCTGTTGCGGGTGTGGTAGTCTCCCTCCTGCTGTTGCGGTTGTAGTACTGTTTCCCTCCTGCTTTTGCGGGTGTAAGTTGCAGGTGTGGTACTGTCTCCCTCCTGCTGTTGCGGGTGTGGCACTGTCTCCCTCCTGCTGTTGCGGGTGTGGTACTGTCTCCCTCCTGCTGTTGCGGGTGTGGTACTATCTCCCTCCTGCTGTTTCGGGTGTGGTACTGTCTCCCTCCTGCTGTTGCGGGTGTGCCACTGTCTCCTTACTCATACTACTGCCGGTATGGTACTATCTCCTTCCTGCTGCTGCCGATGTGACACTGTCTCTCTACTACTGCTGCTGGTGTGGTACTGTCTCTACTCCTACTGCTATAAGTGTGGCACTGTATCCTTCCTGCTGCAGCGGTTGGTGGCACTATCTTCCTTCTGTTAGTGCGGGTGTATCACTGTTTCCTTCCTGCTGGTGAGGGCGTGGCACTGCGTCCTGCTGGTGTAGGTGTGTCAATGTCTCCCTCCTGCTGCTGTGAGTGTGGCAGTCTTCCTACTACTTCGGGAGTGGTACTATCTCCTTCCTGCTGCTGCTGGTGTGGTATTCTCTCTCTCTTACTGCTGCTGGTGTAGCACTATCTCCTTCCTACTGCTGCTGGTGTAGCACTGTCTCCTTCCTACTGCTGCTGGTGTAGCACTGTCTCCTTCCTACTGCTGCTGGTGTAGCACTGTCTCCTTCCTACTGCTGCTGGTGTAGCACTGTCTCCACGCTTCTTGTGCGGGTGTGAAATTGTATTCCTGCTGCTGTGGGTGCGGCACTGTTTTCCTGCTCCTGTTGCTACGGGTGTGGCATTGGCCCTGCTGCTGGTACGGGAGTGACACTCTTGCCCTTCTGCTGGAGTTGGTGTGACACTGTCTTTCTTCTGCTGTTGCGGGTGTGGCACGGTCTTTCTACTGCTGTACTATATAGTTCATTCTGCCAACATGTAGTGTATAGTTCACGCTGCCAACATGTAGTGTATAGTTCACGCTGCCAACATGTAGTGTATAGTTCACGTTGCCAACATGTAGTGTATAGTTCACGCTGCCAACATGTAGTGTATAGTTCATTCTGCCAACATGTAGTGTATAGTTCACGCTGCCAACATGTAGTGTATAGTTCACGCTGCCAACATGTAGTGTATAGTTCACTCTGCCAACATGTAGTGTATAGTTAACGTTACCAACATGCCGACATGTAGTGTATAGTTCACGCTGCCAACATGTACTGTATAGTTAACGCTGCCAACATGTACACTCGCACCAAAAAGTATCGTTGCAGGGTGAGATCGACGACTTCCGAAACGATACGTATACACTGTGATATGTCGGGAAGGTTGGTAAGTGTATCCTCATAAACCCTCCCTCCACTAGGTGTTGCCATATGGCTGACAATCAGTGTGTTTGTTTCCTCTTTTCGGATTGTTGCTTTGTGTCGACTGAATGATGAGCGAGGGTTCGGTCTCGGTGAACGTGGGTATAAAACAGAGGCAATATGAAGCAGTAGAGATCTACACATGCCAGACGACATGGAAACCTCAGAGGGAACACAAGGAGGTATTATTGCCCTTCATAACAAAGGGTTCGGCGTCACAGATATTAGCCAGGGTTGGTGTCCACAGGAACACCGCTGCACGATGGATTCGGCGATACCTCGAAACTGGTGCTACAGACGACAGGTCTCGGAGCGGCCGTCCAGGCTACACCACCCCTCAGGACGACCAGGTTGAGTGGTTTATTTGGTAGCATAAATTAATGTGGCAATATTCACAGGTATCACAAATAATTTAGTTAACAGGGAGCTCCTCATATTTCATACTGTCTATTTATAACTTCCCGACCATATTTATAACGGTTTGTTTCACTTGACCAGGCCATAGTAGCTGCTTGTGATGCTGATCCATTCAATTCTGCTGCCACCATCTCCGATGGGCTCGATCTGTAATGCTGCCCACAAACAGTTCGCAACAGGATTAACGCTGTAGGGCTGCACGGTCATAAACCAGCATTGAAAGACTAACTGAGTGAACGTCATATGGAGGCCAGAATGGAAGATGCACTTGAGCATGCAGACAAGCCAGACAATTTTTGGGACAGAATGGTCTTTTGTGACGAAAAGACATTTTGCACAGATGATCCCACGTCTACACAATATGTGTGGCAAATTATCAATAGCAGGTAAAAGCCTCCCTCTTGCCATTCGTTTATAGGTGTGTGTTTGTGTGTGTGTGGCACTGACAATCGGTTCATAACAGGGTTAGAGCACAAATATACTCTGCATTGCTGAATAAAGGTCTCCCCTATTAAACCTCATGATATATATATATATATATATATATATATATATATATATATATATATAATTCTACTATATTCCACTGTGTTTCTACTATCAGGTTCGAGGCACGTAATGTGGTGACCAGCAGGAGGAGTGACAGGGTCAGTTTGGGTATGTTTGGATGGATGCACGCAGGTAGTGTCGGTCAACTGGCGGATGTTGGCCCCGGTCGGTTCACTGGCCAGAAGTTTGTTGAAGAATTAGGGGACGTTCTTCTACCATCCGTTGAAGCATTATTTTTCCAGCAGGGAGAACCATTCTATCTCGTGCAGGACAACAGCCCCATTTATACGTGTCACGCAGTTCGGGAGTGGTTTGGGCGACATCCATACATCACACTTCTCCCACATCCACCCAGATCCCCGGATCTCAACCCGATAGAGCACGTATGGTCCGCTATGAACAAATACAACATTCCTTCAGCGGGACGTCACCTGATTCGAGAATGTCCTCACCCATGCCTTGGAGGCATGGGAGCGGCTACGAGGTCCTAAGGGACTTGACTTGACATCTAAGCTTCTAGCATCAATGCCCCGCAGGTTGAATGCGGTCATAGAAGCGGGTGGTGGTTACACCAAATACTAACATAATAAAAGACATTCCCATGTCATTCATTTCACCTCCTATATATTTCACACACACAGGACCCACTATCAGATGTTACTCAATAATATGGGTGATAAGATAGCAGTAACGTTACACAGCTGATTACGGGGGTTGAACAATCGGTAAATAAGCCACTACCTACCGGAAATTATTATCAAAGGGCCCGTAAAGTATTACATTTAGATTACACAATGTTCAGTATGCAATGACATTATGAAACGGATCAATATGTGGGTGCTTCTATGTTGATATTTGTGAGATTCGAAACGTGTGGAATGAGACAGACGAAATATATCACCATACAACAACGGTCGCAGCTCAGCAGGATTACAGGGCTGCCAACATACGGCTGGAACAACTCGCCTTTCCCAATACCTATCGTCACTGGTCTCAAATTGTCCACACTACAGTATGCACCGATACTTTTTGTTGCGAGTGTACGTTAATAGGGAAGAAAGTACTGTAATATATCATTAGTATAATCCTCAAATAGGGAACTTTACTCGTTAACACAAGAACGGTTATGTTCAGTAAAACACATGAACACTATCTCTTAAGTCCAGTGTCATTAATAGGTAATTAAGCGCGTTATTAAGAGCACAGTTATAAGAGTTACATGCAGTTTGGGTCCTAGTTACCTTCATCAACATTAATTACAAGAAACTGTGTTTAGTTGGGTGAGTGGTGTAGTCAGATGGTGTGTTGGTACTGTTAATATCAACTGTCTCCAAACTTACGGTAAAACACACACACACTGCTTATGGCAGTCCATCGAAGTCGATGACGACGTTGCTCCAGATGAGATGATTGATGTGTTAATCCTCTGATGCCACCGTAGATGACTATGGAATCCAATCCTGGAGGCGCAGATCTTGTTGCATAGGTGTCAGGGATGTTGTTTATTGAGAGGAATTATGCCTTGAGCCCTCTGATGTCGTTGGGCTCGTTTAGTAGCTCTCTTTTGGTTCAGTGAGGTCTCAAGTGTTTCCGCTCCTCTTTGGCATGTTGAGCGCCATAAGGAACGGTCTGAGGCTAGTTGCTCCAGTGAATTTGGTTTTATATTACAGCACTTGAGAAGAATTTTAGAGTGGTCCTAATATCTTTGTTTTCTGACCTCCCGCCGAGCGGTTTCCGTGTGAGAGCTTGCCATATAATATTTGTCTTGGAAGCCGGTGGTCTGGTATCCTGATAACTTGTCCAAGCCAGCGCAAGTGTCTTTTGGCTAGCATGGCTTCAATGTTGGTCGTGTTTGAGCGACGATATAGTTCTTCATGAGTCAATCTATCTTCCCAGGATATTCCAAAGATACGCTTAAGGCATCTAGTGTGGAAGTTTTCCAGCATTTGGATTTGGCGTCTGTAGGGCGTCCAGGTTTCTGAGGCATATGATAATGTAGATATACAGACTGCTAGATAAACTGCAGTCTTCGTTCCATATTTGAGGTCATTGTTGAGAAAGACTCTTGTTCTCAAACGTTCAAATGCAGCTGAGGTTAAATTGATTCTGGTTTGAATTTCCATATCCAGTGAGCTGGTGGGTGTGAGAGTGCCACCAAGGTACTTAAACTGGTTTACTATTTTGATAGGATCTCCATTACTGTAGAATTGTGGTGCTTTTATTGGTGGAACAATGGGCTGGACAAAATTCTCAGTCTTCTGGGTGTTATTTTGCAAACCAAGCGAGCTGCAAATACCTGAGATCACGTCCAGTGCACGTTGCATAGATTCTCTGTTGTGTCAATATTGCACAGTCACCTGCATACTGTAGTTCTATGACCTGAGTTGTTAAGGTCTTTGTGTAGGCTTCCAGACGCCTAATATTAAAAAGGCTACCGTCAAGACGGTACCGTATGCCCACAACTGCATCAAGCCCAAGGGCATTGTGTGAGAGTTGTGCTACAGCAAGCAAAAAGATGTTAAACAACACAGGTGCCAGCACACAGCCCTGTTTTACGCCCATTTGGACACTAAATGGTTTGACTGCACACCACCCACATCTGGCGGAGGATGTTTAAAAATCTTGTTGGTGCACCGACCCTCTCCAACAGAGTCCACAAAAGTTCTCTGTTTACTGTGTCGAAAGCTTTGGAGAGGTCAGTGAAGGCGGTGTAAAGGTCTATCCTTTGCTCACGACTCTTTTCTTGAATTTGCCTAGCTGCGAAGATCATGTCTATTGTATTGCGATCCTTTCTGAATCTACATTGGGATTCAGGAAGAGTGTTCTCCGTTAGGTGTTGGATAAGTCTTAAGAACATGATTTTTGACAGGATCTTGCCAGCAACTACAAGGAGGGAGATGCCCCACTGCTTTGTCACCTTTATTCTTATAGATTGTTATGATATTTGCATCTTTCCAATCCTGGGGGATGGTCTCTGTGGCCCATATGGTAAGTAAGAGGCTATGGAGGCACTCAGTCAGATGGGAACCTTCATGTTTGTAAATTTCAGCTGGGATGCCGTCAGGTCCAGCGCTCTTGTTGTTGCTTAGCTCTCGTATTGCAGTTTCCACTTCTTGTAGGAGTGGGGCTTCATCCAGGAGGTTCAGGATCGGCATGGGTGGGATGTTATCCAGTGCTGTTGGTGTTATTGGATTAATTTGATTTAGAAGTGTGCTGAAGTGCTCAGCCCATCTTACTGCAATCATTTGATTGCTTTTGTAGAGTGTGGTGCCATCTAAAGATCTTACTGGTGTGACATTTCTTCTTTGTGGGCCATAAATGGACTTAACTGCCCTATAGAAGCCGTGTGTGTTATTGACATCAGCAAAGGCTTGAATTTCTTGTGCTTTTTTTACCCACCAGTCCTTTTCCATGCTGCGTAACAGTCTCTGTGTTTCTGACCTGTTGTTGGTTAACCGGTCCCTCAGTGTTTGTGATTGAGGATTTGATAGCATTGCATCGTGAGCTGCACCTCACACTTACACGAACACGGTTGCACCTCACACTTACTCGTACACGACTGCACCTCTCACTCGTACACGGCTGCACCTCACACTTACTCGTACACGACTGCACCTCTCACTCGTACACGGCTGCACCTCACACTTACTCGTACACGGCCGCACCTCACTCGCCCACGGTTGCATCTCACATAATTGTACAGGCTGTACCTCACATTTACTCGTACACAGCTGCACCTCATCTTTACTCGTACACGGCTGCATCTCACATACTCGTATACGGCTGCACCTCACACATACTTGTACACGGCTGCACCTCACACATACTTGTACACGGCTGCTCCTTACTCATTATCGTACACGGTTGCACCTCACACATACTCGTACACGGCTTAACTTCACACCTCCTCCCTTCTCACTCCACTGAAATATAACGTGTTTTTTTTTTACGGCTTTCCTGTGATCGTTTTATCAATGTTAAACTTTCTATTGCCACTTTGAACTTTTTTTACGTTAGGGATTGAGTAAATTATCTCCTCAATTTCTCTTGCAAGTAGTTTGATCTCTTCTTATAGATGTTTGAACCCAGCGCCATGTCGCAGTTTTTGGTCTGTTAATAAAGTCGAATTTACTTTGGTTCTTTTTCTTTTTTACGGTCTTAATTTGAATTTTTATTTCACAGTTTTTTATTCATTCATGTTAAAAAATCCTGATGGTTTTATTTTGTATTTTAAAGACCCTTAAGTACCGGTAATTTTATATTGAATGTAAAGACCATCACGTACTTTTATACTGACTCTGTTTTACATTGTTTATACACGAGGCTTCAGAAATACCGCTAGTTCCTTCTTATCAACCTAACAATACTTTCTCCCTGTACCCAACATCTCCCTAAACAGGTTTCTCAGTCTGGTGCCCATGAATAATTGTTACCGTACTGTTTATCAATAAGTTTACTATCTAATGATCTAGTTCGATTATAATTACCTCATTTTGTAGATGTAAGTGTAGTGAATAATACCATTGTCTAATATCAGTAACAATTAATAGTCATGGGGGATTTACACTTTTTTTCACCATTACACATCAACAACAGGTAGGTAATAATCAGTGAGGAGCAGGTATAGGTCAGTAATAAAGGTGTGAACATTAGTAGACTAACAACTAAAATGACAAACACACGACAAATCATCATACTTACTTACTTCAATATAACGTATGATAATGTGGCACTTTTTTAACGGTTGGAATTTAAAGAATCTTCGCTTGGGTTGTTATTTATCATTAATTTAGTGAACCGTGTCACCTTTACCTTGGCACACCTGGGGGTAAATGCTTACAAGAGATGAAACTCCATTTGTGTTATTGCTTCCCGCTTAGCAGTGTTTGTATTAATGGATATCTAGATAGTGAAACACCAGTTATTACATAATGTCTTGTGCACGCTACTCTGCTCGTATATAGCTACAGCTAATATTCACCAAACTTTAGACTCGGTTAATGGAGTGCAATGGCCGAGTGAATATACCACTCGCCCCCCTGTTTTGAGTGCCGGTGGTTCGATTTCGTGGTACTCCCAGTTCACCCAACTGTTAATGGGTACCTAAATTTACAAAGTTGGGAAGTGTAAGCGGTTGTGTGCAGTGCCGCCCCATGCTGCCTCCTCGTGTACCGAAAGCTTAGTACACACTGTGCTGCTATCCACACTTCCCCTAGCGGGCATTAATTTCTACGGGACCCTCTTTTAGTACATCATGAACGCATCCATTTAACACAGTCAGTGACTAGTTTATTGACATACGACTGAAGTTATATGTGTTGTAAGTGACTATAGTGTGAGGCATCCCTGTTAGATGTGACCATCATGTGCTGTGGTCAATCACTGTGGTACTCACCAGCAACTTGTGGCACTCTGAACACTGTCTCGGTAACTTGTGGCACTCGATAGAACATTTACCTACCATGGCACCTTATGGTCACACCTTCAGAGTCATTATTATATATTTTAACGTTGTCTCTCTTTCATGGTAATATCCGTAAGGAATACCTGAGTGACATGACATTATTTTCTTCCTTCTTTACACTATGACTGGTTACCATGTTTACTATGGGGACGGCTGCTGGGGGTGTGTGTTTTAGGCCTCGTTTCAACTGGTAGTATTGTGGGTAAGGGAGTGACCAAGTGATCCTTCATATGTACTGCATGGAGGATGAAGAGTTGTTTAAAATAAAATCTATATACTGTATATTAATAAGTATTAAATGAAATACTAAAAATAACCATAACGATTACAAACTCTAAAGACGAGAATAACGATGCAAACAATAAACGAAAACACAAAAACAAAAATACAGAATCCATATGAAATACATCAAATCAGTTGAATAAAAACTACACCCAGTTCATCAAACATTGGATAGTTATGAAATCCCAACTGTTCGATTTGGCTATACTGGGACGAAGGCAAAACAATTCATCATACTCTGGACAGTTTTCTGATCTCAGTTGGACAGTTTTGTTAGACCCGGACGGAGGTAAAAACTGCACCAGTATTGTGTTAGTACTCGGTCGTATATCATCCTCGACCACCCCGCTCTGAACTTTGTCTTATACACCGACAACTTTATTGTAGTATATCTCCAGCAGGCAACATATAACACCAGGAGGCAGCACCTAACACCAATAGGGTACACCTAACACCAGCAGGCAACACCTAGCATCAGCAGACTACACCTAACACCAGCAGGCTACACCTAACACCAGCAGGCTACACCTAACACCAGCAGGCTACACCTAACACCAGGAGACAAGACTAATACTAGGATGGCTGGCTCAAGGGCCACCTAGGCGTGAATTTGTTTAAGGTGTAGAAGCTGTCGCCAACACAACGACTACACCCTAAGTTAGCGAGTTGCCTGACCCAGTGTCAAGGAATAGTCCGAGAAGACGGACAACTCGCCAACTGCACTAGCTAACCATTACCCCGGAACACGATCCGCAAATCGATTAACATCCAGGTTCCCAATTACTGTTGGGTAGACAGGCGAATGGCGTAAAGAAAACTTGCCCTTAGTTTCACCCTGCCAGGGCATCGGTCCGGGTCCGCTCGCTTGCGGGGTGAACATGCTGACCATTACACCACAGGTAGGCTACACTTAACATCAGCAAGCAAGACATTAGCTGGCAGAAGATAACACCAGCTGGCAGTTGGTAACACCAGCAGGCAGCACCTAACATCAGCAGGCAAGACTTAACACCAGCAGGCTAGACTAACACCAGCAGGCAACATCTAACACCAGCTGGCAGGAGGTAACACTAGCTGGCAGGAGGTAACACCAGCTGGCAGGAGGTAACACCAGCTGGCAGGAGGTAACACCAGCTGGCAGGAGGTAACACCAGCTGGCAGGAGGTAACATCAGCTGGCAGGAGGTAATACCACACGGGACTGTATTAATGATGACAAAATAGTGATCACTTATGTATTAGTCGATGATACTTCGCTTGGTGATGTTCTTTGGTGTTACTGGTGTTAAGTGTACATAATTGTTGTTATCTGGTGCGAATTGGTGTTAAGTGTACATAATAGGTGTCATTTGGTGTTAGGTATACACAAGTGCTGTTACCGAGTGTTAAGTGTACACTGGTGATGGTGTTTCCTTGTGATCGTCAGCTTAGTTCTGCACTAACTTCTATCACCTTGTTCTGGGTGTTCTATTTATTCTGTAAATTTTCACTAATTTCACTTGAAAACATATTAACCTCAAGTTATAGGGGAAGAGTTAAATAATAATATGTAGGTTAATAAGCGCGATAAGTGGTGCCTCCCTTGTGTAGTCTTGGTAGTAAAGGGCACAGGTAGTTGGATGTTGATTGATCAACTGCAGAAACATCTTGCATGCTGATTGGTCAAAAGCCTAAACATCTTAAATGCTGATTGGTCCGCAGTATAAACATCTTGAAGTCAATTTGTCTATAACAAAAAAGTCTCGAATGCTAATGGGTCAACAGCATAAATCCCTGCAGTGCTTATTGGTCAGCAGTATAAACATGTGGTTGCTAACTGGTTAGAAAGTAAGCACCTTGTGGCAGGCTGGTCGACATAATACTAATGAACAAAACATGTGAGCGGCGTCAGGAGATAAGTTGATAAACACCCTAGCCCAGCCTTGTACAATAATTTGTTTGTGATAATTAAGATATTACCCGGTATAGTAGTTACTGGTCTGTGTGTTTGTGTATACGCAGAGGCAATAATAAGGTTTTAGAAGA